AGAGCAGCCCTCTAAACCTCATGCCACCTATTCAGCAGAAGCAGAGACATCAGGTTGTGGAAGGAGTGACTGCTTTCTTAGAAACCCTACTGACGTGGAAACAGAGCTATTCCTCTTCCCTTCAGAAGTGGCTCTGGAATTCCTAAAGTCAGAAATTCAGTATGAAGATGAAAACACTGATGGCTTGTGTTACACAAAGCAACGTGCTGGCGGCCGACCAACAGTGCTGCAAATTCTTTCTTCCTTTTGGCACCAAACTATTTCACTTACGAAGGACAGATGAAAATTATTCCAGATTTATGTTGGCTCTTGTCTGATGCTAGTTGTGTTTTTCTGATACAGCCTCTCTCTAATGCCCACAAAGCTTTGGAGGACATGTAAATGTATCATCATCCTATCATTCCTCATGAAGAAAAAATTATTTCAGGAGGCCCCCAAATAAATGTAATATTTTGTCTGGACATGTAGATCCTTTCCATAGTGTGAGTGAGGAGCCTAGGCTGAATCCCAGGAATCAGTTCCTATTTAAGTAAATGGAGTGCAGTCTTTCACCCTTAAATTGATCCAAATTCTATTGTAAATTTGGCAGCATGTGCAGCTCCAAACTAAATATTGTCAGATATTATTGGCTCAAATCAGCTGAAATAAATCCCTCCTCACCACAGCACCACCATTCTGGCCCTGCTGCCTCCTCAGGTGCTCAGTGCCTTGTGTTGTGGTGTCAGCACAGGGTGAGGGATGAAGAAGGGAAGCACATGCCACACCCCATCACATCTGTTGGTGAAGGTCATGCAACACAGGCACAAAAACAGGGATGGCAGGAAGAACTGTAACGGGGAAAAGAGGAGGCAGCCTTGTGATTGGAAAGGGTAAAAAGAAAACTACCAGGGGTGTAAAACTATGTAAAACCCACCGTGCTCTGCCACAGGGCTGGGGTGGGCAGTGGGGAAGGGCATGACTGCCTGCCTTGCAGACAGCGAGTGCGAGGTGCCTGGCACCCTCTGCTCATGGCTGCACGATCTGACTGGGTCCCTGTGAGCTAAAAGCTGCTGCCAAAGGCTTGTCTGGCCAAGGCTTGCCACAGCTGGGCTCCCAGTGACCCCAGCGTGCTGCCTCCCCTTCCCCTGGGGAAAGGAGATAATGTAGCAAATTGCAGGCAAACTCCAGGAAAATGGGGAGAGGATATTTGACTCGGAGATAAAAGCCTCCTGCTTTTAGGTTTGCCAGAACCAAAACCCCTGCTTTGCCTACACCACGGAGCAGGGCGAGTCCTATGAATTGGCAATGGCGAACCTGTTCTTGTCCTCTTGCAGGCATGCTGCAAGTGGCTCAAAACCCCTGTGCATTGTAGGATAAGCAAAACCGTTTTGAAGACAACATTTTGTGAGTAAAGGCACATATTGAGGAAAGTTTCAGAATGGAAATGAGTCAAGAGAGACAGTGATGGGACTGGATATGTCAAAGAGGAGATGGTCCTTCAACCCCACCCATGAAGGCAGCTGTGTCATTGTGTCAGCAGCTGATGCCACTTGTTCCCTAGAGAGTGGAGGACAAAGAAAGGAGCCTGGAGAAGCAAGGTGTGAGTGCACTTTGTGTGTGTGGATGCAGTTTGATGGTACAATTAAGCTGCTGTTTAGATGTTAAGAGCAGGCACCCAGGGAAGAGCTGGTCATATCCCCTCCCACTCTCCTACCCCCTCCCTGATGCTGGCCTGTCTGTGTCCAGCCAAGGCTGGGTGCTGGGGCACTGGGCTGGCAGCACTCCTCATTTCCCAGTGTTGGATGAGGCAGTTTTGCCCCTGAGAGAGCTCCCTTTGGTGGCAGGCATGGAGCACCCCTGGCACAGGGCAATGGGTGAGCTCGACGGGTGGTTCCAGCAGACTCCCCATCGTCCTGTGCTGCTGCCACCCTGCCATGGCACCTGCACTGCTTTCAGGAGGGGTTGAGTGCTTGTATGTCCGTGAAGATCTGAGCCCGTGAATGCTGATTCACCTGCACTGCTGACTCAGGCTGCCATCCCTCAGCGCCCCTCCCTCCCCTCCACTCCAGCTTCAGCGGCGGGTCAGCAGCACAGCCAGGGTATCTGCTTTGGTCTCTACAGCTCACAACGAGATACCACCACCAGGCTCAGAGCACATTAATATTTGGGGCACTGAACAGCAGCAGCCAGGGACTGTTGGCTTGTTTGAGTTTACAATATCACCAAAGGGCAGTTCCTCTGTCTCACTCCACCCCCGACTTCCTCCGTGTTTCCTACAGTCCATGTATTACCCCCACAAGAAAAATCTACTTGTTTTTCAGCTGGACAGGGGGCTGGCCGGCTGCATGGGCCCCACCACGAGCCTGGGGAAGGTGGTGAGGGTGGCCCTGCAGGAGATGGAGCAGGGAGGCCCACCCTTCCCAAGGGCAGTGCAGATTTGGGCAGCTATCTGGCTGTTTCCCCTCAGCCCTGTTTTCATGACTGTTCAGCTACGATAGCCAGTCTTTTCTCTGAGAGCCCTGCTCTCCTCTCCCATCATAAACCACTCTGACCAAGCACCTCTCCACCTCCAATCTCACAGCTCCAGCCAGACAATAAACTTGATCAAATGGTGTATCCACGGGGAAACAGGTTAAGAGGCAGCTTCTCAGCCAGTACAAACCCAAACCAGCAGAGCCTCAGCCACTCACACACACCTCAGCCAGCCTTTGCCTCTGAATGGACTTTTCCACAAAGCACAGCAGCAGTTTTCTCTTTCCTCTCACCAGCTGCCTGGGCTGTGCTAAACCTACAGACTCCTTTAGACTCATAAAAATTAAAATGCTTGAAAATGGGAACAGGCACTAGGCTGTCCTGCTTTAGAGTATTGTACCAGCCACCCTGAACCCTCACTTTTCTCCAGCTGCCAGCTAGACAATTTCCCCCATCCCCTCCCTCCTCAGCTTGCTCATAAGCAGGTGATTTCCATCCAATTTCCATCAGCAGGAGCATTTAAGCTGCAGGGCTGGCAGCTTTGGGAGAGGAATAGAGAGTGGTTTTGCAGTAGATCTGATGGCTTTTTCCCTTTGCTGCTTTAGCAGCCCACTTCTCTGGGGGGCAGAGGAGCAGATCTTGTTTGGCTCAAGGCTTGTGGAGCATTTCTCTTTGGTTGTTTAGGGGTAAGAGTTAGTTACAAGATGTCACCTTTCTGTCCTGATTCATATGTGGAGAGTGCATTAAGCCTGTGCAGAACTTGGATTGCAGGTGACAGAAATGGGGGCTTTTTCTGGGACTACACGTGAGGCACCTCCTGGGCTGTGTTCCACTGCCACATCTGGCTAATCCAGAAATCTCTTCATTAAACATTTTTTTTGTTTCTATTTCCTGTGTGTGTGTTCTTTTGTGCCTGGCTTCCACAAAATTAGACTTGTTTAAGATACATCAGTAATCTCTAGCTACTTTCAAAAGAGACAAAATCACTTTCAAACCTCAGCAGGTCAGTGGGGGCAAGAAAACTTTCCTTGTGCAACACACTGCTCCTCACCTCTGTTTCCTGTTTGTTCCTGATGTGATACCCCACTCTGTAAAGCCCTCCTGTACACAGGTTTGTTCAGCCTTGCAAGAGCTTCCTCTGTGATATTTTTTTCTCTACTCCCTGTGTACTTTTTTTGAAGAATCATTTGCTTTCAAAACAGATTGAGGTACTGCCAGGCTGAGCTGACTTACTTCTAGATAAATTTCTGGGTGAATATTGACAGACTGTGAAAAGCTGGCTGCACTGCAAGAAACTTTCTTTAGAATAAGAAAAAAATGCTTTTTCTTGACAAATGATTGTTGCTAACCTTTGCTGATCCATGCCCATGGGAATTCAGCATCAACAAAAGCTGTAGTGCCTGGCTTATCCTAAACTATGCCAGTAAGGACTCTTACATCTTAGTGAAAACATCCTGAGCTCACTTATTTTGCCTGAAGGCCGAATGGTTGCCTGTCTTTAAACTGACAGATACACCCTTTGCAAAATGAGCATGATTTTTAACTCAAACACAAGCTACCACTCAGATTTACATTGTTGTAACAAGGCTGCTTGCAAATAATTATTGAATAAGATTCAGGTAGGGAGGTTTATTCCTAGGAACTTGCATATAGCTTTATGAAGTGATGCTGCATCTGATGACATCAGATGCAGGACTTCATTTAAGCCTGTATGGGATCCATATCTTCAGTCACAAGGGTATGAAAATGTCAGATTTGGTTTGGGTTGATAGAGCCTGTGTAAATAATCATCCTTTTGTAAGGTGTTGAAATTTTCTCTTTAAATGCTACAACTTCCTTAAGGTTTGTTCTGGGCTTTCAGACGTAACTGGCAGCTCATTAACAGCTTTTTATTAGCACTGAAAACCACAGGAGGGAAACTGCACAGGTCATCTGGAACCCTTGGCTTTGGTAGGCAAAAAGCTCTTGTCTCCAGATATGTGCAGTCCTAGGTGTTTTCATTTCACAAAGAAAAATGTCTTTGTGGGAAAATCTCTGATATGGATGAGGTGGTGAAGTGTTGGATCATTTTGATTACACCATGCAGGCAGGCTGAGTGGAACAAAGAAGTCTTGCTCCTCTTGATCTCCAAAGGGACAACCCTCTGCCTTTTTTGTGGTCTCAAATGCAAGCTGATAGCAAGCATATCAAATCAAAGTCATGATTTGGCCAGTTTATTGAAACAACTATAAAACCTGAAAGAAAACAAGCATGGAGTACAAGTCCTGTGAGGAGTGGCTGAGGGAGCTGCAGTTGGTCAGCCTGGAGAAGAGGAGGCTGAGGGGGGAACCTTCTCTCTCTCTACAACTCCCTGAAAGGAGGTTGTAGCCAGGTGGGGGTCGGTGTCTACTCCCAGGTAACAAGTAACAGGGCGAGAGGAAATGGCCCTCAGTTGTGTCGGGGGAGGTCAGGAGCTTAGAGATCTTTTCCAACCTTAATGAGTGCACGTGTGGGCTGGTTGATGTGTTACATGTTTGGCACTGAAGGAGCCCTGTTTGTGCCCCTCGCAGGCGTGGCGGAGGCGCTGGTTCGTGCTGCGCAGAGGCCGCATGAGCGGGAACCCCGACGTGCTGGAATACTACAGGAACAACCACTCCAAGAAGCCCATCCGCATCATTGACCTCAATGAGTGCGAAGTGCTGAAGCACTCGGGGCCCAACTTCATCAAGAAGGAATTTCAGAACAACTTTGTCTTCATTGTGAGGACCACCTACCGCACCTTCTACCTGGTAGCCAAGACCGAGGAGGAGATGCAGATCTGGGTGCACAATATCAGCCAGATCTGTAACTTTGGACATCTAGAAGATGGCACAGGTAGGATCATGCTCATCTTGGGGGCTGGGAGAATGCCCAGGGGTGACAGGCGTCATGGACCTTGCTGGCTGGTTGGGCTGGGCAGGTGTAGTAGGGCTGTGATTCCTACAGCTCCACCCGGCACTGAGATGCTGCTAAACCCTGATCTGAAAGTTCTTAGGGATCTCACTGCTGCTGGGTGGAAATACTGACTGGCTGCTTGGTCTCACTTTGATGAAGCCATTCCTGATAGAACAAACAGCAGGTCCTTAATAAGAAAAGGTACTGTTTATGTGAAAAGCTGACTGTTATATTCTGGGGCCGTTTATTTCATTACATGTCCTGTATTTATTTAGTTTGGCTTAATGTAAGACACCTGTTCCAGGAAAGCGTCCTGCAAAACTCCCATTTTCTCAGGCATTGCTGGACGTGGAATGTGCACAGACTTGGGTGTATATGCATGTACATAAATCAATGACAGAAATAGTAAGCTGTCGTAGTCTGTTGATGAGACAAAATAAAGAAAAAGCAGAAGATAGGAGAGCATTAGAAGTGTGTATCTAGACTTAAGAGATGGTCCTACCAGTGAAGCATAAAGGCAGCTGTTTTGCCAGGCCCTACACCTGTATGTGCTCAGCAGGGTGAATTTCTTGGAAAGCTTCCAAGAATTAACCGCTCCAAGATGGATGTAGCCAGTAATTAAAGTCAGGACCTGTATCATCATTAACTTACCTTTTAAATGAGACAATTGGGCTCAGATAACAGCAATTTGTCTTTCCCTTGACATTTCCAAGAGGCAGATACAGCAGCAATCTGAGAGTTTTAGAGGAAGTGAGTCAGAATGAAGTCCTTCAGAATGATAAGAGGCAGCACAAGAGTAGAAAAGGGTGGCAGTGGAGGGACTTGATCCCAAGGGCAGTAATATGTTTGGGGGTATTGTAGTGTGGCCAGGCAGGTTATCTTGCCGTGGTGTCTGTGCTGCTGCACTCAGAGTGTTACTGGTGTCTGCAACTGCTGCATGGCCACACCATTACCTCATAACTTGAAACAAAAGGCTATGGGAGAGGCTTTATTTTAATCTATCACGGTTCTTGGCATTCCTTAACCTTCTCTTGGGTAGTGTCTTCTGAGGGAAATGTGAGTGTGAAGAACACTGCAGTGGTCCTGTGACAAATGTGATATCTGTTCTTTTCCCATTCGCTTTAGAAACCACCAGAAAAACGTGCTGACAGATTTTCGTGTCAGTACAAGCTGCCCATGAATACAAATTCCAAACTAGAGCTGGTAGCTTTGAGGGACTGGCATCAACAGCCCTTTGGAGCTTGGATGTAATTAGGGATATGCAGCAACCACCTTCTTCTTGTTCTGCCTTTGTTGACACTGAGATGTTGCTCTTGCATTGTTACTTCTGGTGCAGGATTATTTTAGAAATAGTTTTACCAATTACTCTGAAATTAAGCTAAGCCGTTCCACATAAAACAGAAGAGAGAAAAATAATTTTTGTCTCTCAAATGTGTAAGTAGCCTTCTCCTGGCACTGTATGAGGATGTGCATAAGGGGACGTGATCTGTGGCAGAGGAGCTAAGACATTGGATGTCCCTGGATAGAGGCATTTATCCTGGGAAGTGCCTGTTCTGTTTTGCTGCTGCAGTGCAGCATTGCCTTTAAGACTTGCACATGGGCAATACTCATAGTATTACACAGTCATGTTTCTCTCCCAGCAAAGATTGCCAGTGTGGACACTGATGGATGAGAAATGGCAGCTCTTGCAGCAGCAGTTGGGAAAGCTGACATCCCAGCCTTCCAAGGCAGACATTGTCCCGCACAAAGTTCAGCAGTGCAGAGTGTTTGCCTTGGTTCAGTGCAACGTCTGGCACCTGAACTTACAGCCCTCATCAGGGATGGCGTGAGCTAAGCCTCCAGACATGCACTTACTGTATCTCTAATGCCAAATAGCTCATAAGAGCTTCTATTTATCCTGCAGCTCATGCCGGTGAGCTCAAGTCTGGGGTGTATTCAGGTCAGGCTGCTGGGCATATTCAGATCCTCTGATTTAAATCTACACGGCTCCACAAGTTGCACATCATATTTCAAACAGTTGCTAATTGCTTCAGCTTTTTGGAAGCTCCTAAATCCCTCAAGAGCCTGTAGATTTAAACAAATTACCCTTAAAAATTAACATTGGAAGAGAAAAGCCCTATTAAATGTCATATGTTTTTTTAACTTGAATGCTACCGTGTTAAAAAAATAATAGTCCCTGATACGAATCATCAGCAGAAAGACACAACCATTGCAGAAAATTTTAATAAGCTGTTCTGCCTTTTAAAATGAAGCTAAAAGACAATATTATATGTTGTGAAATCAATCATTCTTAATCTCTACATCTCTGAAAATTTGTTGTGACTTTGAGGCCAAAACCTAATCTGCTGCTTTCTTTGTTTAGTGCACAAAATGCAGCCACAGGTTTAGAGAGTGACTCAGCTTTAAACACTGTCCTGTCATTCCCAGTTAGTCCCTTCCAATAGCAAGGAAGCTGGATGAACAGCTGGTTTCCCATTACCAGAGGCCTCCAGTATGGGGTGTTAGCAGCCAGATGCAGAGCAAAGTTACCAGAGACGTGGCTCCTGTGAGGACAACTTTGTTGTCAACAGGAGAGGCAGGGCTGAGAGACAGAGATGAAATGCAAGATCCAGGCAGATGTCAGGAAGCACCTGGGAGGGCGGCTGTCGGGAAGGACTTGCCAGCAGCACTCAGCACACTGCAACACTCAGCTGCCACAAGAAACTGTGGCACTGGCTGTGCTGGAAATGACAGGGGAGGTGGCACCTTCGGAGGAGTCAGCTGAAGGAGAGAGGAAGAGGCCTTGCTCCCTGTTTTCCTTCCATTTCTATTTAAATCTTGCTTTCATCTTTGGGCAAGTCTCCAAGTAGAGCCATCATTCTCCAACCCCCATGGACCCATGGCCATGCAAGGGATCAAGAGGATGCTTGGCCCAAGTGGTTGGGGCAAGGAAGGAGATGAAATAAGGTGGCTGTGGGATATCAGGGGCACAGTTTACCCAATGTGCAAGCTGAAGCCATGACTAATTGATACAATTCAATATAGAAGCTTTTCACTGGAGAAACTGCTGGGAAGGTTATTTAACCTGTTTCAGTAGGAAGCCTTACTGTTAAAGATAATGTTGTGCCAGGCTGTGCCTTGGCAGGCAGCTCCTCGGCCCAAGAGGGGCATTTCATCTTGGGTTTCACCTTCACACCATCCGCAGGTTCCAGATGTAGTTCAACATCTTCTATAAACACCTTGCTCATCCTGGATGCATCCCTTTCCTGAAGATCCCGGTTGATCTCCATCTCTTCCCTATTGCTCTACTCTCTCCCACAGCACCCAGGGCCACAGTAGAGCAGGATGTCCCTGGAGAGACTCCCCCAGTGGTGCCCTCCCTGCACAGCACATGGACCATGATGTTGGCAGGATCAGTTTAAGGGACAGGTTATCCTTGGGTCCCTCTTGGCTGCTGGCAGTTGAATTACAGCATTTCTGCTCTTCTACCTCTCCCTCACCTCTTGTTGCTGTGTTGTTCACACTCATCCTCACCCATTGCTGGGAGCTTCTTCCATTCTGCCTGCTCCCCTGATGGTTTCTTTGCCTCTTTAAATGTGTCTCTATTTTATTTTTTTTAATTATTTTTATTTATTTTTTATTTTATTTGCCAGTGTGTAGAGACATTGCACATGGGCAAGGGATGGTTTGACTCCCCAGGGCCTTGCTGCAGCCAAACTGGGGAACTTCTCTCCCAGCCAGGGCAGCATGCTGGGAGCAAGGGGAGCCAGGGTCTACTCCCTCCACTCTCACCTCTCCACAGGAGAAAATCCCTTTTCAGCTGCACAGACTCAAGGCTGCTGTTTGACATCAGGCTCTGGCCTCTGGCCATGAGGGGTGGGTTTACCTCTTTGGTATGGCTGTGTAGCCTTGGGGGGGCCTAGAACCCCCCATTTCACCATGTCCCTGCACTGCTGTTGCACCATGACAATTCTTGAGGGGTGGGCTGGGGTCTGTAGCAGGGGGGGAAACTGCATGGTGACTTTCCCCATGATGCAGAGCATCCTCCATGGTGACTTTCCCCATGATGGCAGGGCAGTAATTTTTTGGGTTAGTACCCACCAAAGCAGTTCTTTTGGCAGCTGAAGCCTCCTGCTGTCTCTCTGGCAAAGGGTAGGGCAGGCACCAAACCTATTCTCTGCCTTCTCACCGTTAAAAGTAGCCATGCATAATTTATTCTGCCCAGCTGCTGTTGCGGTACAGCTCTAATGCACAGGATTGGGTTACCAGCAGAGCTGGCAGGGGCAGGGACAGCCTGTTAGGAGCTGACTGCAGGTTCCTGAGCTCCTGAAGGTTAGAAAAGGGCAGGTCTGTACTGTCCCCATCCCTCCCTGCTGCTCACAACCATTGCCATGTGGTCTGCAGCTCACAGCCTTTCCTGATGGGATAATCCATGGCTAAACCCTGTGAGTACCAGATGGAGTTCAGGCCTGTTCGTTCTCTGCGTTAATAACCCAGAATGTCATTAATTTCTTTCTTATGCACTGTGGCAGTTTTAGTTGTTGGTTTGGGCTTTTTTTAATGTAGTCAGATGGTGATGTGAACATGCTTTTCTGAGATCCCTAGGGAGTCAGCCCAGTGCACATTTGATCATTGTCAACTTGCAAGACAGCTCTCCGAGTCCAAGATTGGAGAGCAGAGTTACTGTCTGAGCCAGCACGATGAACAAAAGTTATTTTTCAGATGGGAAGCCTGCAGCCCTCAGCTCTGCTTTGCAAATGTGAAACCTTGTAAAAGCCATTCCTTCCAGATGCTCACTGCTGAAACCCTGCTGCTATAAGCACCTGCTCAAAATTAAAGCAAATCCTTTGCTTAAGCTTGAATTTAAGCACGTGCTTATATGCTTTGCTGACCTGAGGCCCACCACTGCCCCAGACCTCCAAAGCTAATGGGAGGAAGCAGCAGTGAGTGCATGCTGGTAGACGGGAAGGAAAGAGGCAGCTCTCTCCCCCATTCAAAAGGATGAGGTGTGGGATAGTGCAGGGAGGGAAGATCAGCTCTTTTATTCTTTTTCTGACTGTGAATGTTGCTGTGGTTGGCATGAGACTCTGGCTCTCATACAATCATACAATATCCTCAGTTGGAAGGGACTCACAAGGATCATTGAGCCAAACTGCTGCCCCTGTACATGACAGCCCCAAGAATTGCACCATGAGAGAGTTCAGTTTGTGTTTAGTGATGTTGCTGTCTAACCACCCAAGTCTTGGCAGCCCTCTCCATCCCTCCTGATCCGCTTGTACATATACCCAGGGCTGAGAAGTGACTAGAGCAACCTGGTACAGTGCCAAGGCTTGTGGCTCTGTTGAGCTGAGGACTAGGCTGGACCTGCTGGAGCATCTCAGGACCTCCTCACACAGTGCAGGATCTGACCTGCAGGCTGCATGCAGCTGGTTCCCAGCTTTTCCAGCAAATTCTGGATATCGGCGTTAGAGAAATCTGCCATCCTGCAACACTTTGGAGACATGTTTATGCTTGGCGTGGTTTTATCAGCAGTGGCTGTTTTCTTGTGTTTGTTTTTGCTGTGGGGTTTTTCATTTTGAAGACGGGTTTTGAGGCTTTGACTCAGGCAGTGTCTGCACCTTAGCCAGAGAGATGGGGACCCACTGCCGAGCCCTGCAGGTGTTGGGGAAATTTGGGACACCCAGTGAGCACTGCCTGGTCCCTGCACAGCCCTGGTGAGGGAACTGCCATGCAGCAACCTGAAATTCCATTAGAAAAATCATACTCTCTAGCTGAGGACTTGTGCTCTTAGTGCTGCCATTTTTGATTCCTGCCAGGAGCAGATGCTTTTAGGGAGCTGCTCTGCAAAGACCCTTCCCACTCCACTCCTTGCATGGTGGGAGGTCCAGCTTGCACTAAGGACTTAATTTTTTGCATTGAAATGCCTCAAAAGCTGGGCCAGAGGCTGTGTTTAGCCTTAACTCTGTGTGGTTCAGCCATCACTCCTTCATCCCCCCAGCCCCATGTCCCCAGCTATCTAGCAGGGCTGAAGGTTGGGAGAGGAACAGAACCAGACTTAGCTGTGCTGCCTGGCAGTTCCCAGGCCAGATGGACCTGAGTGCCTTGGCCACATGCTGCCAGTGAAGGGTGGTCTTGATGGTCTGAGCTCTGGGCCAGCCCCGCTGGCTGCAGCCCAGAGCTGTTCCTCTCCTACTGTCACCCTGCTCTGTGCCAGGGTGACTGGAGTGTTATGGCCAGGGAAGGTGTCACTGAGAACAGGCTCCCTTGTGTCTTGTGGCCTCCAGAAAAATAGTGTTACTTTTCTCAGCAGAGCCAAGAAGCCTCCAGCTGGGCAGAAACAGCTATACTACAGCTTTTGTGGCTTTGATGTCCAGCCCAGAGAGGCATAAGGAGTTTGCAGGCAAGTTCAGAGCTTGTCTGGCTACTCCATGAGCTGCAAAGCTCCGTTTTGTCCACTGAGATCTAGAAAGTGGGAGGAAGTCAATCCCTTTCCTTGTCACCATTAATTTGAAGTGTTGGAGATGAATAATTAATTATTTGCATTAGATACTCAAAAAATACTTGATAAAGCAGGCAGCTGTGCCTCAGCTCTCTCTTCAGCAGAGGCTGTCTTCATTGCTGGCTGCAGGAGGGATGCCACAGCCCTGCAGGAGTGCGGGACCCCAGAGGAAGAGGGTCTGTACCTTCTGCAGCCCTTCAATTTGACAGCCTGGGCAGGGGGAGCTGCAAAATTGGGCTCCCCTGTCCCCAGAACCAGTTTTTACCTTGACTCACCGCCCCTCTGGGGTAAAACACCCCTGGTGTAAAAGCAGGGTGGTGGCAGCCAGAAGAGGCAGTGGGCCAGGGCGAGTCAGAGCCGTTCCTCAGCCGGGGCCATCCGTTCCCGTTGCAGGTTCCGTGGAGAGCCTGTCCCACACCACCTCGTCCCCGCAGCCATCACCAGCCGCCTCCACCCACACCTCCCGCATCGCCGACCCCTCCTTCTCGGTCGACACCGCTGCTGCCGACGCGTCCGCCACGGAGGAGACCCCCAGCGAGTCAGGGTCAGTCTTCCTCCCCGACTACCTCTTCCTCTCCAACTGCGAGTCGGGCAAGCTCAGCCACAACAGGTAAGTCTGGGGTCTGCTGGATGCGTCAGGCTGGAGCCACCCTCAGCCTGCCCAGTGATGAAATTGGGGCACAGTGCTCCCGGAGCCCTGCCACTCAGGGTAGGCTCCCGGGCACTGCAGGGGCCCACCAGCCTAATCCAATTTGGAGGGTGCTTTTCATAGCGCAGATTAGCGGTTGAGCGTCATATGTTGGTCCTGTCCCTTTCCAGGGTGGGTGGCTGGGGACCTCACACACAGCCTCCCTCCAGACAGCTGTTGCTGCCCAAGGTGCTCCACAAAGTGTCCCATCCCCCAGTCCAGCTCAGGGGGGACCCTCCACAGTCACAGGGAAGGGACAGATTTTGTCCTCAACTGTGGGGTTGGGTTTTTTGTTTGCTGTGTTCTTGCAACCAGGAGAAAAGGAAAGCTCAGTTCCTGACCTCTGCCTCTTGCAGGTGTGACAGCTGGTCAAATTCAGACAGATCTCTGGAGCAAACTTCATCGGACGATGTTTTTGTTGACTCCTTGCAGTCCCAGCCCTCCTTGTACCTTGTACAGCCAACCAGTGCTGGCACTGTGCACCAGGACGGGGCCCCACTGGCAAATCCCAGCACCATGTCCAGGAACATAGACATTAGTGGGCCATCCAGTGACTTTTCCTCCTCTTCTCCCCTGCTGGGGACGCCGCTGACACCAACCTTTCAGATGGACAAGAGCCAAAACGCGCTGCCCTACGGTGTAACCCAGCTGGACATCCTGTCCAACACGCCTCCACCACGGCCCCCCAAACCAACCCACTTCTCGGACAGGAGAGGGGAGGAGGTGGGCGGCGGGGCCCTCCAGAACGGGCACGCAGGGATCGGCAGGGCTCAGGTCGCTCTGGTGCCCAGGAGGATCTCTCTGTCCAGCTTAGACAACATGAGGAACTGGAAAGGTGAGTGCACTGCTGAGAGCTGGCAAAAAGGACCAATGTGAGGGATAGACCACAGAGTGGGTGCTGACTTCCAGTTGTGCCTTTCTGTCCTCCCCTCTGTGGAATCATACACCACCCAAGGCAACACAAAATCCTTCTTTCAAATGAATTAGCAAGCAGGATTCAGGCCTGTCCCTCATGTTCAGCTCCTGCTCTGTAGAAGACCCTCAGTGTGTGTACAAATGGGCAGCAATTTTGCTGTCATCCCTTCAGGGTACCTCATGACTTGCTAGTTTTCCATGCCCCCTCCCTCTCCAAAAGGGAAAGTAGTAAAAACCACCAAAATGAAAAGTCAACCACTGAATCAGGCAATGCCAAAATCTGTTTATGCAGGTCAAAGTGTGGGCTTGCACATAGGAAATTCTTTCGGAGCTGTGCTGCTTCTCTACATCCAGCCCATTCCACAAGAGCAGCATGTCTTTTTGCAGCTTAGAGTAAAGACCAGGAAGTCAGGGAGACGCTGGGGATGGGATGTAATCCCAATTGAACCAGGGACTCTGTGTGTCCTTGAACAAATCCCACTCTGTCCTTGCACTTCAGGCAGAGTAGTCTGAAAACCTGCTGCTATAGGGTGATGCTCGGCTGCAAAGCAGACTCTACTCTGAGCTGAGCTGGCTTTTCCACTTGTTCCTGAAACACCATAATAACAAACAAAAATAAGTCAAAAACCCGGAACACCATGGTATCAGAAACCAGTAAAGGCAGAATGAGAAAACTTTATTATGTAGAGCCACAGAACAGAGAAAGGCAGCTGGGATACCCGGCTGGAAATCATCAAGTATACTGCAGAGATATGGAAACCTTCAGTTCTGATGAGGAATAAAACATAATTTTTAAGGACAAGCATCCTTTAGGCTCCTGCAGTTTAAATGACCAGACAATATTTGGGGCTGTTAGATCTTGCTCTTAAAGCTCAGAAGCTAAAGCAAGGAGATCTCTGTCCAGCCTGTTTATCAGTGTACAAACAATTCTTGGAAGGTTTCTGGAGAAACACCCATCAGTGGAATTGCTATTCTTGATTATCAGCTACATTTTGTTGCTCCCTGAAAGGTGCTGCTCTTGCTTCTGCACATGTTCCAACATCACGGGCACACTTGAGCCATTCATGTTCCTCCAACCCAATTTACACCAAAATGTTTTAAGAGGATTAAGTGGCCAAATGTCATGTTGTGCCGCAGTGCTGCAGGGTTATCTCTGCCTGACGGGGGCAGCAATGAATTAATAAGTGCTGCCACTTTTTCTTGCCCTAAGTGAAGCTGAAACTATTCGAAAGGTTAAACTCTGAATTAAAATGTGTTTAACAAGAAAGATCAGAAAAAGAAACAAGGAGAAAGCAGCTCTTCCTCACCAGCTCCCACAGTGAGCCCACTTGAGTCATTTCCTTCACTTTTTGCCCTTGGCAACCTGCAAAAGGTGCACAGATGTAATTAACCCTGTGTAAAGGCAGTATGTGCTGGTGGAAGTGCCATGAAGGGGGATGAGCTGTACACATGTAAAGCATCTGTGTCCTGGCATCTGATGGAGCCTTGTGCCAAAATAATAACCACCACAAATGCCCCCAGTTGCAGTGCAGTACCAACATCTCCATCATAAGAGCAGAGAGTGGATTAACATGGTTTCAGGGTTTTAAGGCATTCCCATAGAAAAGCCATTTTCTGCACAGAAAATCCCTTTCCAGAAAAAAGCGGTGTTTGTAAGCATCTCCCACTGCTGATCTTCTATGCACTGAGTGGTAGATTTTAGGGCTTTTGGGTTTTGCTTGAAAAATAAAATGGACCTGCACCAAGACAAAGGCCCACCTGCAAAACAGGACACTGAGACTGGTAGCTGTTTCTCTGGCTGTTTGTTCCCCATCAGCTTGAGCCACTTGCACCATATCAGCACTTCTGGATGGCAAAGCAAAGAATTTTTCTCCTATTAAGTTTCCCCATGCACCACTCTCTGTACAATAACACTTACTTCCATGACACCTTACATACCAGGCTCCTAAATAACTTTCCAAGCAACAATGAAATAATATTCCCTACAGTCCCTTTTCATGTAATTTCCCCACTTTGACAGAGAGCGACTAGAGCTCTCTGGGTTTAAACTTTTGCTTCCTTGCTCCCACACCAGCCATTCTCCCCAACTGCTTGTGTTACAGGAAGCATAAGTTACAGCCGGATTATACATGAACATGTTCCTTGGTTTCATCATACTTAAAATGGATGTAATCACTCTTGAAATGCTACTGAGTTGGATCTGGTCTTAAGTGTCATTGGATTTCCTCACTTAGGAGTTTTACTCCAGAATTATCTCTGTAAGGTTGCACTGCCTTATCACATTTTTAATCACTTCTCTTTTCCTTGCAGCAGACATGGAAGGCAGTTCCTTAAGAAGTCGAGATAAGAGGCTTAGCTTGAATTTGGTAAGTACTCTGCTTGCACAAATTTAAAACACTGACACATGGCAAACTTCAGAGAGTGAATCATTTTGCATCCTGATATTCAGTCATCCCCCTCCTGTGTTCAGCAGAAGAATTGAAAAAATGGAAGAAGCACTTGGCTTTGGGCAACTTCTCTGCTGCTGCTTTGTGGCCTCCGCTGCTGCTTTTGAGGGAGGAGGGAGAGGTAGGCCACAAAACTAAGCACCCTGTTTTTAAGGCAGATGAAGCTGGGTCTGTTATGAAAAAGGTTACAGTAGCCTCAAGAATTAAACTGTTGACCAAAGGCACCAGAGAAAATGGCCTATCCCTTGAAAGAAAGGGTCTAAAGAAGTCTACCACTTCATGATCTTGAGGGATATCTCTTCTTTAGGACGTGGGAAAGTGCCTGCTCTCAAAGCACCTGTGATTGAGGGCTCTGTCAGTCCAAAGCTTCCTGTCTCAGCCTTTGACAGACACAGTTCTGTGTGGCACCATCTCACATCACACAGCCAGTGTGCTGGATACTGTCTTCTGTGGGAGATCCTTTGCTGTGTGAATGTAAGCTCTGGTGTTGGGCAACTTATATTTTTCCCCCGTTTGAAAGCTTGCAAGGTTTGTAATCTCTCCGTCTGGCCACTCAGCCAGCACCAGCCTGCATGAAATTATTTTCTAGTGCTTATTCTCAGCGATCAGAAGCAACTTGTAAGTCTGTCTCTGCTCTCTCAGCTTCCACATCCGCAAAAATCTAGTTCATCAGATGTTCTCCTTTCAGATTTTTTTTTTTTTTGTATGAAGGAGCCTCCCTCATTTTATAGGTCAGAATTACTGCTGGGAGGGGCAGGTGCAACCTCACTGAAGTCGGAGGATTTAACCTACTACAGTCACGGATAAGTTTGGCTCTAGTTTCCAGCAGTGGCTTGCAAAGCTCAGAAGTGGACCTCTCCAAAGCTGGGCTGTGCATCTGAACTCATGTGTTTGTCTCCTGTCTTTCCATCTTGCACCTCTCTGAAAGGTCTCGTCAGAGCTCTCCTGGACTGCGCTTGGCTCAGATCCGTTCCCAGCTCAAAGCACCTCCTGGCTTGCAGGGGGTTGGCTTTGCATTTATTGACCTATTTCTCTTTCTTTTCCTCCTTTGCTTCCGAAGCCCTGCCGGTTCTCCCCGCTCTACTCGACGGCCTCGGACGGCGCGGAGGACAGCTACGTGCCCATGCGCCCCAGCACCTCTCCCTCCGCGCCCGGCTCCGACTGTTCCCCCGACGGCTACATCCCCATGAGCCCTGGCTCGGCCACCTTTACCTTCCCTGTCGTCAGCACTGAAAAACTCACCAGCCCGTTACCTGAGCTGCCCTCGGACGTGGAGCCCCCTCCAGTGAACCGAGACCTCAAGCCTCGTAGGAAACGTAAGCCCAGACCCAAGTGCAAATGGCAGCCAAGGGGTCCTGATGGCAGGGACACGGGTGGCCTCCTTTGATAGTGTCCTTGGCATGTTTTGAAGTGGTTCCCACTCTAGAAGATGCGCTGAAATGCTGTGTAAGTGACTTACAGTACTGTAACCAGGGATGTGCCTGCAGGGTGGTTTGTGAGCAGAAGAAAAGCATCCGTGGCTACTTTCACAGTCAAAGCCCAGGTGGCTCCACACTCCAGCTTCAGATCCACTCCAAGTGCAAACAGCCTTCGAGAGACAGCAGACTAAACCTGCTGCTCTGAAGTACATGTACTGCTGTCTCACCGGTTCCCTGACCTTCCAGGAATGGGGCATCCAAACAGTCAAATACTCATACTTGATGTGTGGGCTGTTGGTTAAATCTCTGTTGGGTAGGCACAGCTGTTTGGTTTAATTAGGAATTTCCTGCAGATGCTTTTGCTGACGGTAATTTTCCACTCCTGGTTTTCATGGCATCTCCAAAATCTGGGTTGCACTTCTAGAGAATATACTGGGGACAAAGTTTAGGTTTGCAGTGGAGAAATTGCCTAAACCTGGCCTTCAGTAAAGCTCTTTGGGTTGCAGAGCCACAGGATTACTCAGAAATTGGTATAGAAAATGTTACTGTAAAGTGGGGGCAGAAATTTAGACCACTGCCATGAAGTGAAGCAAGTTCATGTCCTTTCTGAAAGGGTTTTGAGAATGGAGGGCATGTGTACATTGATTGGGGACAGGAATGATCTTGGATCCCAATGTGTGAAGTCTTTTTGTTTAGAACAGAGCCCAAAACCTGTTATGACCCGTAGGATGAACCAGCCTCTCAATGGCAGTGTATGCAGAGCAGATTTGGGGCAAACTCAGAGATCTCGTGGGGCATTTGCTCTCCTTATTCTCACTGTATTTACTGTGTTATTGACATGTTATTGAGGTGATTGAGGGACTTTGCTTTCCAGCAGTGACCAAAGCAGTCATTTGTTACTGATTTCTGTCTTGGTTATGTTCTGTGAAATACTCCGTTAGTTTCTTTCTGTTAATATAAAACTGCATTTTTCTAACCAGTTTGTACTTTCCATTAGCTCTGCTATTGGAAATGTAATTGGTTTTGTATCTCCTTACAGCACGGCCACCTCCTCTGGACTTGAGGAACCTCTCCACAATCCGGGAGCATGCTGCCGTGACCAGGATGTGGACTGTGCCTTAGTAAGTCAACAAGAAACCTGCCATTCCAATCTTTTCAGCATTAGCATTGTGGATTAGAGTTAAAAATAACTTATCACATCCCACAAGAAACAGTTTCCTGGCAAAGTCCACAAACAAAAATTCCCCAGGGTTCCTTCCAGCGTTCCCCAGGCTTTTGCTGTCTCTAAAAAGCAAGGCTCCCTTTCACGATGGGCGGCTCCAGTGCACTCAGCCTCATGCAGTGATGCTCAGTCTGTTTTGAAGGTTCCTTTTAAGCAGCCTGGAGCTGGTCTGCACTCTGGTGTGGCTGCTATGCTGGATAAAAGCTTTGCATGCCTAAACTCTTTTTTTTTCTAAGTGGAAGAGCCAATTTTGTTCCTGAAAATTAATATAGCAAGGGAGAACCAGATGAGATAAAGATCTACCTGACTTGGAGCCTGAGCGTAGAATTCTGCACTGCCACACAGCAATTCAGACTTGAACTGTTGGTGTGGCCTTTTGTCACTGGAAATTAGTTGTTAGTAAAACAAATGCTTTTGATTTCAAAGCCCAGGTCGTATGAACAGATGATACTGTTTGGCTCCAAGGGCAGCAGAAAACTCATTTTCAGGGAATTCATGAGCAGGGGAGGACTGCAGCCTGCTGGCTGGGGGGATCTTGGCACTAAGGGGAAAGCAGCTGTGCTGGAGTGTGCATGCGATTGCCAGGAATTCCCACCAACCTCCTCTGCGCACCCCAGGCACTCCAGGAAATGTGGGGTTTTGCTAACGTGGGTGCCAGGCAGGGCATTTCCACTCACTTCAGGTTGTCGTGTGAAGGGCAAAAGAGACATAAGACGGACAGTTTCTCCGTTTCAGACCCCTCTCTCAGCCCATTGAGTCCAAAGCTGGTTAAGCCCTTTGGCACTGCCTCCCAGGGAAAGCCAATAGTCTGCCTCCCAAGCATCCCTGCCAGAACACTGGGGTTAATCAGTGCTGACACAGTGCAGAGTCCTGGAGGATAACGAGCTCAGGGGGAGTGTGCATGTTCTACACTAACAAAGCTAAAAAAAAAAGCATGCCTGGAACTAATGAAGCAAAAGGAATTATGCTGTTCATGCTGCTCAAAGTGGCCACCTAATGTCCTACTGACTGACCCCACTGCACTCGCCTGCAGTCAGTTACTCACCGCGTACCTCTGACAGTCATGGAAGTGGAAGTGATTCTGCAGTAGTGGAAGAGATTTCATGTGCAAGAGCTGAGTCACAGCCATCTCCATAGCAGAGATAGCATGTGTTGCCACTGTGTGCAAAGCCAGACAAGTTCCTCTGCATGGACCTCCAGCAGCTGATTAATTCACATCAATCTCCAATATGTGGCTACCCTCACAGCTAAGTAACTGCCCTCATTATTACCCAAATGAATGATAGCTGTTTCTGTGCCCCTTGCTCGAACAATTGCTTCAATGTTTTATGCTTTCTGTCATACCAGAAAGCAAATTTTCATAAATCCCAGAAGAAAAGAAAATCAACAAAACCACTCATAGCAATATAGCACACTATTTCTAGAACTAAGGAGTGGTTTTGGACATTCTCTCCATAAAGGCTGCAGCGTTAGTGTGAGTTTATTCACCATATGGACTGTGTCAGGCTTTGGCTTCATTTCAGAGCATCTGTAAGATGCTTCCTTAACCTCTCCTGTGTTTTTCTTCATAGCAATCGAATGAGCTTTATCTCACCAGAAAGAGACGGTATTAATTCAGCAAGAATATTTGCCAATTCAGTTTCCGGAGAAGAGGAAGAAAGTTACATTCATATGGTAATCTTCATTTTCACACAGCCATCCTTTGCTTTATTCTGCTCTGTCACATTGATGGAGAATGCAGAAGTTTGTTTTCTAAGAAAAAACGTTGAGGAGGTTTGTCCTTTGCCTTCTGGGGTTTTTTTTAAATGATGAAACGGTTTTAAACCATAGACACTGGGACCAATTTACGGAGAGATAAGGGAAGCCCTTTTCCTGCTCTGCAGAACTCAGCTGTTCGCCCACGAATGTTGCTGAGCAGTTCCAAGAGATCACAGGGATCAGCCATATTTACATGAGAACTCATTAAGGCAAAGGGAAATTAAATCTTTTCACCTTCTAAAAATGTGCCCTGCAAAATCTCCCAGGAAATGACAGAAAGCCGTTAGCTTCCTAAAGAAACACACCAAATATTGTGCAGAAACAGAACTCCCATTAAAGTCTCTTATTGCTTCTGCTTTGGCTGGTGGCACTAACCCCACTTCCCATCCCATGAAAGAAGAACATCTGGCTTCGTGGTATCCTTTTCTTCATTTACTCTTTAGCCATATCTTGCAAAAGTCCAGAATGTTGGTTTCCTTTGAATTTTAGCTGCAAATGGATCTCAAATCCCTTGATCTGAGCCAATGTCTACAAATCTGGCTCCATAGCCAAAGCTCAAGAGTAATGTCTATAAAAATATATTGCAAAACTGACCACAGCCTCCATGAAACACCGTCTAAAATTTTAACCCACATCTCTACCAGATTAAAATGTGCTCAGGAGGGCAGCTCTAGTTGTAAACACTCCCCATTTGATTTCTCTGGTCAAATAAACCCTTCCATGCATTTGTGGTCACCTGTGGTTTTCGTGAGATTAATTTTCAGTTGCTAGATTTGAACAGAATTTTCACAATTTCTTCAAATTCACTGAATGATGATGTTTAAGAGGGCACCCCTGCAACTTTGAGCCTTCCAGGAGCTTGGGTTGAGAAGCTGAGCACAAGTCCTTCCTGATAAAATTGCATGTAAATCAGTCTGGTTTTTTTGTTTTGCCATAATTACCAGGAGGAAAAGGCTCTCACACTTTCTTTTTGTCATCCCACAATTATCAGTGTTATGCTGTGGTTAATAACCAAATGCACACTTGGCATAGAAAATTAGGTGGCTCCTGACTGTCCTCACTCTCATTCTATCAGGCAAATCTCACAGTTGTGGTCCTGCTTCCTTTTAGGATCATGTTTTAAGAGCATTAAAAGTTTCTCTTCTTTCCTGACAGGAACACAGACAGGCAACATCTCCATACAGTGGTGCCTTTCCATGGACAAGGAAATCTAACCTTGATTACTTAGCACTGGATTTTAATTCTGCTTCCCCATCCCCTGTGCAGAAGGTACGAGTCATCTGAAAAAATCCCACAGCCTCCTGTCTATTTGTCTGCTGGGAGGAAATCAAGACCCAGGGTCACATTCTGCTAGGTGCCCCAAGTGTCACGATGAAGGCAGTCGTGTTTCCAGCTGACTGCATCTGTGGCAGGCTCAAGATTAATATAATAAGAGCATGATTATGGTGATGACAAGGTGTCCTTAGTATGACTCACAGGGATGCTGTTAGCACGAGCTCAGCACAGTGCGTGAGACAGCGCTGGGACGTGCAGCCATGAGGGCTTGTGGGCAAGCTGGTTGATGTCTTCAGGATCTCTGCATGCTCTTTCATTTTCATCAAGTCTCCACAAAGCCTTTCCTGCTAGTTTTCTCCCAAATCTCTTTGCAGTAACAAATTTATGGCCTGTGATAAATTCATGGGGTAGAACTGTACCATCTCTTGTAACATGGCAAAATGTGCATCTTTATCCTTGCATCACCAAAACCATTTCAATTTCCTTTGCTGAGAAAATACATTCTTTGTTCCAAAGAGCTTCTAACCTGCCCAGGTGGTGGGTTGGTACCACTGCAAAGAAATTAACTGTTATCAGTTTGGGTCACCTTATGTCCTGTGTATCATTTTCTCCATCAGCCAATACTCTTAGATGCAAAAGACTCTTAAGCTTTCTTATTTAAACCCTCCCTGTAGCTAAAATGCAGTTAGTTCATCCCTGCAGCAGGATCACTCAGATGAGGAGAGAGTGATTATCTGCATGGAAGTAACCAGCACAGCACGTTTCCCTCTCTCACTGTGCTGGGCTGAGTGACAGAGTAACAGATGGATAATTATAGCTAAAGCAGGCTGTAAAGCAATGCTTTTGTCAGCTGATGTCACTGTGAGCTTCAAGGTGAAGTGAAGCAATCAAGGAATGAGGGAAAGGGAAAATAGAAAATCAAGACAAGTTTCACTAGCATCCCTTTTCAACCTGGAAGTTAATATATTGTTTTTTTCTTCTCTGTCCCGCAGAAACCTTTTCTGTCTGAGGAACAGAGGGTGGACTATGTCCAGGTAGATGAACAGAAAACTCAAGCTTTACAGAACACTAAGCAGGAATGGACAGATGAAAGACAATCAAAAGTCTAAAGGAAGAAGATTTGGGATCTGAAAGATTTTTTTTTTTTTGCACTGGAACCACAATGTTAATGAAGCAGCTATCACAGTAGAGTTCAAAGGCAGAGGGAGCTGTAAGATACAATCTGTAGAGGCATTTTTACTGGAAACCTTTGATTTCAGCTGGAAATAGTATGTTGAGTGAGTGAGTGGTTCACTGATGATTAAAGTAATGCATTACTCTTTCTACTGCCCTTACCACTAAGCTACATGGTACCATTTTCTGGCATGATTCTGCGACGAGTCATACACTTAACGTTAACAAATCCACTACAAGTTGCATTAATCTAGTTCGTCCTGCCTTCTCCCTCAGTTGCATAATTCCTAGTTGCTAAAGCTATTTTTTAATATTCCTACAAATACTGCTGGTGCTTGGAGTGCTTTTATGGCAGCAGGCATCTGACAGGTATTGGTGACTAATCAACTAAGGGCTAAAATACTGAAACAATAAAAAGAACTTTTTGAATATATAGTGCTTAAGCAAAGAGAATTTTGAAAAATATTTTTTCCCCTGGGTTTAAAAGGTCTGACTGTGAGCTGATGCTGTCAACTCAAAACAGGACTATGTGCCCATGCGACTGGAACGCATGGTCTTTGACCCTCTGGACGACAGACATTAAGCTTCTTCTCTCCTTTGTGGCTCATACTTGTCGCCTTTCTGTCTGATTCCTACTGATGTTTTCTCCCCTATCTTGAGAAGTGTCTTCAGCACGGCACAGCACAGCTGCTCTTCTAGCAGGAGGCTGCAGCCACACAGCCCTTGGCTGGCCAAAAAATAGAAAGGGAAGCTGTGAGCCTGTTTCTGCAAGTCTTGAGAGAACTGGCAAAGGATCAAGAATGCTTTCATCTGAACAGCAGAAGAAATGCCATTGGAGTTGCTGGTAGCAGTCGTCAATCTGATTGTTTCACTAGACCCACCCCAAAAAAAAAAGAGCGTTAGGAAGTGCAGCGCGCTCCGAGAGAGGCCGGGAGCCTGCCAAAACAGAACAACAATGCGCTCACGCGGCGTGAGGACCTCTGGGTTCAGGAAGCTTATCTACCTTGGGACTTGTCACAGGCACTATCTCAGGATCACATATGTGTATAGTTTATAAGATATTTAACTTTAAACGCTTGGCTGCAGTCTTTTATTTTAAAGTGGCACACAGCCACCTGACTCATGGAAGTAGGCAGTGACGTTGAGTGACCCGCTCTGGATTTGGTCTCGCAGGCTTTGCTCCTGTAGGTAAGTCCCAGTAGCCATAAGAGGTCTGATCCTGTCGACATGGACAGACAGACAGGACCCTTACAAAGATTTCTTCTCTGACAGTGCCAAGTCACTGCCCTCCCTTTGTGTGCCTGTTGTTACCACATTGCATTACTGTAACCTGACATCCCAAAAATGCTGATTTACCAAACAGAGGTTGTAGAAATGTCATTGCAGAAACCACTGGCATTTCAAGGCTTCTACTCAACTTCCTCCTCTGCACTCACTCTGCTCCAACCATTCGGGCACTCTGAGAGGCTGAGATGTGGCCCAGTCTCACATCCTGTGGGAGAGGCAGCATAGCCAACAGAAACACAGTTTTCCTCCTACCTCAAGAGAGCTGAAGGGCTTGCAAGTCTTACTGCTTCTTTAGCCCAAACCCTGGGGATCTGTGGTGACCAGGCTCTCATTAGCTTGCCCTGCAAGAAAAAGGTTCGCCAGCACCTTTATTGACTGTGGGGCAAACTGGGCACCCAGGCCTGCAGGCACCAAGTGTCCCAGACCAGAGCTGCTTGGAAAACAGGGGTTAATCCTACAGATAGCTGACTTGCTGTTCCCCCATGCTCTGCTCCTCCTCGCCCCCTCACCGAAGCTCTAAAGTGAAAGTTGATGTTCACAAAAATTTTGAAAATAATTCCAACTTTTCTGCATACATCTTGTCTGTCTGGTGTGAAATTCAGTTTGTTAAAACCCAGGGGTTTGTCCTCAAACTGATTTAGCAGAGCTGTGAGCAACCATGCCCTGGGAGTGGTATTGCAGCAGGGGCAGTGGAGATCTGCACCTCCACAGAGCTGTCAGAGAGAGGGGAGCATAGAAGGGCCACAGATACTGAGACCTTTGACTTTCTGCTCAAAAGAATTGCCTTTCCTTCAAGGTGTACAAATAACGCATCACTGAAAGCTCTTGGTGTATGATGACGTACTGAAGGGGTTAAAAGACCAGTGTCTTACGTTAGGGACAGAAAATCTCCACAGAGGGCAGGTAAAGTTGTGTTCTGCTACTGCAGATCCTGGATTGTGGAGTGATGTCAGGGCAGCCTCTGATGCGGATCAGCATCGCGTACAGATCAGATCGTGTTTGACTGGAGTGTTTCTTTTCATGCTGTCAGAAAATTTTCTGAAGAGGAAAAACACTGAGTTATTGGAGACAACTGACTCACTTGTTATTCTAGTTTATTGTAAAAATATTTAAATTTCAACAAACCTGGCTAACAGAAAGAAAAAAGAGCTCTCTCGATATTTTTATTCCCCTAAAAGGACATAAGCATATACCTTGGCAAGGACAGTCCTTAGATCAGAATGGCCCCTTTCAACTTCCTGTGTCCCCTGCTTGCCCCCACCGCCCTCTTATCTTGATCAAACGCTGCTCACTGGTTTCTAACTTTCTCTTTTTAATTAGAAGCTAAGTTGGAGGGTTTATTCAAATTTTCATGTAAGGTCTGTTTTTACCCTCTACTCCAGGATCTGTGACATGCAGTCTTGTGCCAGTACAACACATGAAACAGGAGAAATTAAAAATATCCAACAAAAATCCAAAAGCAGAGCAGTCTTCCCCCAAGGCTTTTTTTTTCTATTGTTTTGGTCAAATTCCACAATACTTCAAAGAGGGTAAAGAGGAGGAGGATGGTAGGAAGATGACAAAGGCCAAATCTGCTGAGGCCACCCTATCCCTAAGGATCTGGGTGTGAATGGAGCCACAACAGCCCTTGCTCTAATACACGATGACAAACCTGTGGGCCAGTACCCACAGAACCAACCGGTGGGAGAGGAGGGGTGTTACAGAGCAAAAAGGAGCCATTGTTTAGTTAAGTCTGTTCTTAAATCCCTATCTCTTGGCCAAAGAGGAAGGAAAACCTGAAAACTCAGTCAGCTTTTGACAGTGTGGTGTGTGAAAGCATAGCCCAGGCCAGAGCCCTCGGTTCACTGCGGCTCTGGGGCCAGCCAGGCACACTCCTGGTGGTGTCTTCTTTTTGCCATGGATCTGTTATTTGTATGTATTTTTTTCAAAAGTGTCATGAGAGCTGATGCAGAGAGAGGCTCTGCACCTAAATGAGCATGGGGTGGCCAGTGGTCCCTTAGGAAACTCTTGTCTTCTGGGGGAACTGGCATTGCCCAGCTCAGGACTTGTAGTGCCTTCTCCAGCACTGCTGGGCCTTCTCGTTTAAAATGGAGAGAAGCTCTAAATGAGCAGAATAGTTTTTGTTTAATTGGAAATGTCACCCTGTGGAGTTGCCAGATGAAGCTTGGTTGCAGGATGATGTGGAAAATAACTAAGCTCAAGGCTTTGAGTCTTGTGGTTGTTGTTAAGGCCCTCATCTGGTTTCCCCCACTGATGGGTTTAATATGGCCTCACTCTGCACTCCTTCAATGACCACACATATGAGCAAGGCATAGCAGGATCCACAACTCATTTGCTTTTTGGACTAAACTGCATTTTACATTTATGATTCCTTTATTACAGGAGGCAGCATTAATGTCCTTGCTGACAGATATGAACCTGAGAAATGTCAACAGCCATTTAACTGGAGCCAGGTATTTTTGGCCAGCTCACTTTTGCCAATGGTAGTGCCCGCTTTCTTCCATGTCACTAACTACATCATAGATGTAGATTTTGGAGTTGCATTCACTTGAAGTGATTCAGTGGTTTAGTAATTCAAAGACCATCAGATGCTGTGATGCGAACGAAGCACAGGGCAATGCCTTCCCTTTGTCCCCCTGTTCTGCAAAACTTGCTCAGGTTTAAAAAAAAAAAAAACAAAAGCCACCAAAATAGCAGACTTTTGCCATGTCAAAGCCAGAATTATTTTTTTTCAAATAAAAATAGACTTTTGTCTTGTGCAAATGAAGCATTATACATTTTTTGTATTTGTAAATCTGTGGGGAAGCATTAAACAGTCATCTCTGTTATGAAGGAGTTAGTCATTGCTAGAGGGAAGGGGCTCGCCTTCCTCATGTTTCATTGTAATGTTTGGTGTATATATTTGCACATTAAACTGTATCTTTTTTCTAATAAATTAATATAAAAGGTAGCTGTAATCTTTAATTATTTTGATAAGCAAAGGGGAAAACTTTCACGTTTTTCATTTAATGCTTTTTCCATTTTTTAAATCTCTTATTAGGCAGTGACTCGTTCATATAAATTATTTGGATGCAAATTCAAACAAATTTGCAAAGAAATGTCATGAGTCTGTGTATCAGGGAGATTATTTGCAGAATAATGAAGAACTATGAAGTTGTGACTTGGACTCATGTCTGCATCCCCTGGGGCTGGGGTAAGTTGCAGCCCCCCAGCCCCAGCTCCTGACCATATCCCTGCCACTGCCACAGCCACTTACTGATCAGTGATGTAGACCACAAGCACAAATTTGTTTAGCACATGCTCTGGGCTTGGATACAAAGACTAGTTGTTATTTAACCTGATCCTTTAATTGCTCTGTGCTGAGGAGTGTAGTTGCTGTTAATATAATTTCCACATGCAGCAAGCTGGGGATGTGGGATCCTTTCAATGTGCACATCTTGGGATTTGGAAGATGAAATGAGGCCATTCACGGGAGCAGAGCTGAGCAAGTCTTGCTGCTAACAAGACAGGTAGTTTGGAAACAGTTTATTTATTGCTTCAGGCTAATGTCACTTTTGGATCTGCATGCTTTGTAATCCTGGCTGGATACCCATTGTGGTGGATCAAGGGACATGTAGTGCTTAGAGAGCCACTGATGGAAAATTGGCTGCATGACTCAAGACACACAGACACGTGTAATTTAGATAAACCTTTGCCTGTGGGCTTGATAGAAGGGAACTGTGTGACATTTTGTGTTCAATCTTGTAGGGAGGGCAGGTCAGACAGATAAAAGGTCAGATAAAGTCTGACTGCTGATTCACAGCTGTGTCCATGTCCTCTGCCCAGCAGAGATGGGAATGGCCCTTTCATCAGGGAGCACTCCCCAGAAAAGCGGCCTCCCTCTGCTGCACCAGCTCCCAGAGCCTCTGAGGGAACCAAACATGCCAAACCCACCATCTCTCCTGCCACCATGCAATGAGCCAGGAAGCACTGAGACTTCTCACACCTCCATGCAAAGTACTTTGGTGATTGGACGACAACAACAATAAGGTGAAAAAAATGACAGAAAAAAGTCTGGCTGTGTAGGCACTTGGTAGGAGTTGGCCCCTCTAATCACACCTGCAGTTTCAAACCACATCAAATACTTTCCTGAAGCAAAAAGTCACAAAGCAGCCAGCCAGGTCCCCAAACCAGATTATCTTCATGGGGTGTGAAACATAAACCTGTCCAAAAAGGCAGTAATTCCCTGTTGTAGAAGCATACAATATACCCTGAGTCAGAAGAGACCCACAAGCCCTGAGAATCCCACCATGTGCCTGAGAGTGTTGTCCAAACACTTCCTGAACTCTGGCAGGCTTGGTGTCATGACCACTTCCCTGGGGAGCCTGTTCCAGTGCCCAATCACCCTCCAGGTGAAGAACCTTTTCCTAATATCCAACCTATTGCCCCAGTGCTTTTTGTTTCTTCAGCTCTTTTGGTTAAGAGTGCCATTGCTTTAGTGTTTTTAAGCCAGAGATGCTCAGTAGAGCATCGCCTTAAAAATGAGCATTCCTGTGTAATCCTGCCTACACTGGGGACTTTATCAACTCAAAGATACAGGTCTTGGGCCACAGTGGTGACATCTCATTTACCTCCAGGAGATCTCCAATAGTTTTGGCAAAGGACTCATATTTTATCTCTGATTTTTCATGTGGGGTTTGCAGGACAGTGACTCCCCCCAGGCCAGTGGCAGCAGCAGAGACAACACTGAGTTTGTGGGGTCTTAGTCCTGAGCTTTTGCCAGCAACTAATGCAGGCTGCATGCTGTGTTTTGACAGGTCTAAAGATCTGCATTTCCCCATCAAACAGCTTCTAAAGCTCCTCTTCCAGCTGTTTAGGGCAGAGACCGTAGGGGGACTTGGCTTTGTGGTCATACATATTTATGGGAGCACACTGGGTGCCAGGGCACCACATCCAGCGCAAACAAAGGATGCAGCTGGCAGAGGCTCAGCCCCTCCCCACCTGGGGAGCTGATCCCAGGCCCTGTTGTAATGCAGGACCAAGCAGGGAGTGACCCAACCTTTCATTCACTGTCCTGTTTTGTTCTACTTTGATATTTGATTTTCCTTTCACATCTGATTTTAGCATAAGCTCATTGTTATACAGCCCCAACACGCTGCTCTGACAGCTTGGGGATCTCAGCATTGGTAAATTCATCACTGTGTAAGAGCTTGAAAAGCCCTTGCTCTCTGGTGGGCTCTCATTGAGGTCTTTCAAGCTTACTGCAGTTTTGGGGTGCTTTCCTTGCATGTGTTTGTGGTGGTTCTTGCAGTTCAGTTTGTTTCTTCATTAAAAAATGCCCAGTTTTTTGTCCAAGAGCTCAGTTCCTTGGAAGTGCCTCTGACTATGCCGTTATCTTCAGATGCTTGGTTTTACTACTGCAGCTGTCATTTCTTAGAGTCCTTCCCCACATGAGCAGCACATAGAGAGGGGGGAGACCTGCTCTGTATTTTTCCCCACAAGAGAAAAACTGCAGATCACTCCCATAAAGCATTCATTCTGACACATACTCCAGGAGAATATTGCTCTGCCAGCACCTTGGTTTTCTCTGGGAAGGCACAGAGCATTTCCAACAATGGAAAAGGCAGGACATCAAATGGAGGTAACACTGGTGGGAGTCTACAAGTGCTTGAGGAGATGCTAGAAGGCAAATACAGCTTTTGCCTTTAGGTTTCCAGATCAAAGTACAGGACAAGTTTTAAGTGCAACCTTTTGTACAGCCTGAGAGAGAAAATTCCTCTACAGAGAGAGCTGGAGGATTGAGCAATACGGAGATACATAAAATCCCTGAGGTCTCCGTAACTCTTTGGTCTCTCTGTTTACTATTAATGTACCTTTTGGGAAGCAGCCAGGCTTACCAGAAAAAGGGAAAAAGTTTCCAAAAGGAGCCCTAGTGGGGGTTGGGTGCCGCCCCTGCTGGGGCATTCAGCTAAGATCCCTGTGGACAGCAGGAGTTTCAGACACACTGAGCTGTTCCTCTTCAAAACTGAATGGCCTTACGAGACACCTGACCATGGACTACACTATTCCAACATGGCTGTGACCTAGTGCAGGCAGTCCCAGGAGGGCTGGAGGGACAGATCAACTGTCTCCCACCTCCTTCTGCTGCTGCTGCTTCTCCTGTCAAGCAGCCTGACACTCACAGAGCTGTGCCTAGGCACCTTGGGGTCCCGAAAATCCAGAGGCTGAGAGATATGCCCTTGGCCATAGGAGCAGGTAGCCCTTTGTCAGTCACATCTTAGGGTATGTTCATTCAAAGCACTGAGCAAGCCCAATATACTGACAGTGGCAAATGGAGCTCCCTCAAAAGGGTAAGGGCTTCCCAGCAGAGAATGTATCTGGCCCTTGGTGTATATTTTATCCATGAAGAAAAGGCAGGTGGCAGAACAGCAGGCAGGCTGTTTACAGTTCAAAAATAAAAGATGTCTTTTTAAAAGTGTTTTTAAAATAAAAAAAAAAAAGAAGATTCATCATTTCTTTGGTTTAACTTCCTCCACAGTTAGTCAGAAATCATCAGGAAATGGCACCGAAGGAAATCCGTCCTGTTCTGCCTGGTCAGCACAAGGAATGTGCTCACGCAGAGGAGGACGGTGAGGGGGGGCCCTGGCTCTTCCCAGGCAGAGCTGAGCAGTGCAGCAGAGACAGCTCAAGAGCAAACTTGCATGATGTGTAAAGACAAAATGACAGGGAGACAAAATAAAGATGGATTTCCTCAATCAGCACACCCAGAATCTGACTTTTGCACCAAATTAAAATTTGGAATAACTCCAGAAATGTCAGTAATTCTTTTTCCCATGCTTATATATAGCAAAAAAGTGCACATTTTTAACAACCATACACCTCTTCAGACTTTGGTTTTCTCTAAACAGCTCTGACTGTTAAATGATACACGAAGCTCACCAAATAGCTTTATTTTGGCTGCAGACTTGCCCATCTTTCTGTGCTTCTCTCACCAGTGCCCACGCTGTTACTCCCTCCACAATCCACTGCTGGACTGGCTCAAAAAGTTCTTGAATGTTGCTATTTACCTCCAGCCTCTCTGGATCAAGTTGGGAGAAAGGGGTGTTTTGGTGTTATTCCATCAGGTACGGTTGGTTGCCTGTACATTTGTGGCTGCAAAAACACAGACATCTAAGCAAAAGCACCATTCTTTTCCATTGGCACCATAATGTTAATCCTCCTAAGGAGCTCTTGCTAAGTCTTCTGACCACAGTTCACTGAAAACAGAGGAAGGAGCACGTATAGTGGCTGGTTTGTATTGGGAGGAGGTGAGAAACAGATGTGCAGGAGTTTGAAGCAAAGAGAAGAGCAGCTGTATCCACGAGGTTTGTTTCAATCCTGCAGATGAGACGCTGCACAGAAAAGCTCAAGTAGGTGAACAGCCCTAAACCTCAGGTATACAGACCAGTACAAAGTCTGTACCTTTTCTAGAAAGAGATGTTCCTATTCAGCACTGCACCTGTACTGCATTAGTCTATAGCAGTGAGTGTGGCAGGTAAGGCAGCGAAGCATCGTGCCTTAAATCTTTCATCACTCTTTAACTCTCTGACTTGTGCTTCCCTAGGGGAGGCAGACACTGCCAGGCTCACCCTCAGGACCTTTTTGTTGTCCCAGAGAGCAGAGCCCAACCCATACTGTCAGGTCCCCAAGCTGCTCCAAGACACATAAGGAAAACAACTTCTACAGGCAAAGAAGCAGGTGTGTCCCAGCCTGTATCCAAAGTCTGCCATCAGAAAGAGAAAAGAGCTCTGGATTGCATCTTGTGTTTATCAGGATTATTTTTGCTATGGGTGCCTATGATCCTGCTTCCCGTGGAAGCAGCATGTTCAAGGAGCTCTGTGTCACAAGGAAACCCCTGAGGTCCTTCTGCTGAGGAAAGGCTCAGTGTGTGCCCACCAGGTCCAGTATGAGGGCGTTGGCTTTGTTTGACAA